CGATGAGGGGAGTGGTGCGACGCCGCCTTCGGCCAAATGCATCGCCGGTGGCCGACGCGACGAGCGGCACGGCGACGTGGGCTTGCAGTCGACGTCGACAGGGGAGGAGCAGGTCGAGAAGCAGGTCGAGGACCAGCGGCCAGCAGAGGAGCAGGCAGCAATGACGCGGACCAAGGAGCAGTCGGCGACTGGGCAGTCGGCAGGGGAGCCGACCATAGGGGAGAAGTCGGCTGGGACGCCGGCTGACGAGCAGCAGGACGTCGAGGGCAGCGGCAATGATGGAGGGGACGCCGAGGAGGTCCAGCCAGGACCACGGCGTTCAGGCCGACTACGGAGGCCGCCTGACTTCTTCGTCCCCGCTGCCTTCACCACGGTGTACGACGTGGACGATGAGGCCGACGACCTGCTGTACGACGATGCCGAGGAGGATGAAGAGTTTCCAGAGCTCGACCCCGACATGTTAGCCGACCCCGAGCACCGTTGGGACATCTCGACGATGACGGTGAAGGAGGCGTTGGCGAGCTGGAAGGGCCCGGCAGTGAAGGCCGCCATGGAGGAGGAGATTCGCAGCCTCCTCAACATGGGAACGTGGGAGTTGGTCGAACGTCCGCCGGGAGTGAACGTCATGAAGAACCGGTGGGTGTTGACGACGAAGTACCACGTCGACAACACCGTCGAGCGCGAAAAGGCGAGGCTGGTGGTGAAGGGCTTCACGCAGGTGTATGGCGCCGACTACGACGAGACGTTCGCGCCGGTGGGCAGCTACGTCACGCTGAGGATCTTCCTCAGTATCGTCGCCGTCCGCAACCTCAACCTGATGCAGCTCGACATGAAGAACGCCTTCTTGCAGAGCAAGCTCGACAGGGTGCTCTACATGTCCCAGCCAGACTACTTCAACGACGGGATCGGCCGGGTGTGCAAGCTGCTGAAGAGCCTGTACGGGCTAAAGCAGTCGCCGCTGCTGTGGTACTTGGCGCTCAATGACGTGCTGGTCGGCGCCGGGTGGAAGAAGAGCCAGGTCGACGAGGCTCTCTACTGCAAGGTCGGAGAGGACGGAGTGGCCTGCTGGGTGCTGGTCTACGTCGACGACCTACTTGCCGCCAGCAGTAGCACCGCGATGTTGAAGGAGCTGAAGGAGCTGCTGGAAGCCGCCTTCGAGATGCGTGAGATCTCGCCGGTGCAGAAGTACCTCGGGCTGGAGATCGTCCGCGACAGGTCGGCGGGGAAACTGTGGCTGCACCAGCAGGGCTACGCCGACAAGCTGCGTAGGCGCTTCATCGACGAGGAGCAGACCGGGCGCACCCCGAAGACGCCGGTCTCTGTCGCCGCCTACGCTGAGCTCACATTCGATGATGAGGAGGCACAGGAGCGGCAAGAGGAGGAGTACCGGCAGAAGGTCGGCTCGCTGCAGTTCGCGGCGACGACGACGAGGCCGGACATCGCCTTCGCCTGCAGCAAGCTGGGGAGCGGTCTCACGGTGAGGAGCGACCAGCACTGGCGTGAGGTCGACCGCTGCCCCGTCTACCTCGCCAATACGCGTGACACCGCCCTGGAGTTCGGCGGTGGACCTGAGTCGCTGGACCTGGTCGGCTACGTGGACGCCGACGACGCCGGTGACAAGCAGAACAGGACGAGCACGAGTGGCTACGTGTTCGTCTATGGAGGGGCTGCAGTCTCTTGGTCGAGCCAGCGCATCAAGTGTGCGACGTTGTCGTCGACTGAGTCGGAGTACGTGGCAGCCACCGAAGCCGGCAAGGAAGGACGTCGACTTCGTTTCCTCCTTGCAGAGTTCCGGCAGCTGGATGCCGGGAAGCCGACCGTCCTTCCGGTGGACAACAAGTCGGCTATCTCAGTCGCCGAGGGCATGGGGTTGACGGGCAACCTCAAGCACATGGAGCGGCGACAGGCCTGGCTGCAGCACATGGTGAAGCGCGGGAAGTTCTCGTTGAGGTACATCCCAACCACTGAGCAGCCGGCCGACTTCCTGACGAAGGCGCTGCACTATCCGGCCTTCAACCGGTGCTCCGTCGCAATCGGCCAGGTGCGCTTGGCCGACGTGGGCGACGGCGACAACGACGTGCAGCAGTAGGTGCCATGCCCTCTTGCATGGCTGGTGCGGTGGACGACGTGCGGTGTGTTGGGTGCACGTCGACGAGCTATTCTCCGAGGAGTACTGCCGAGTGGACTTGAGGGGGACCAAGCGTGAACGCGGCAGGGGAGTGTCAACGGGAGTTGTATGTTGGCCCCGTCCACGCTTGGGCGGAGCCGACATCGTGGTCAGGTGTTAGGGGAGCAGCCGACCTGCAGCAGTGGTCGATTTGGTCGACGAGGAGGTCGACCTGCACGGGGACCACTGCACGGGCGCCGACTTCGGGGTGGGGCCAACTTCGGGGAGGTCGACTTAAGCGTCGACCTGCGGAGGACGTCAACTTGGGAAGCCGACTTTGGTGGTCGGCTGATGTGCTGGTCGACCTGCGGGTGGTCGACTGGACCGGTGGTCGACGAAGGAGGGGTCGACGTCGAGTAGCAGGACGTCGAGCAGTCAGGACGTCGAGCAGTCGGGCGTCGAGCAGTCGGGCGTCGAGTGACATGGTCGTCGACCGAGGGGCATGGTCGACCCGGTGAGGTCGACAACGAGGTGGTCGTCGACTTGGGAGGTCGACGGACACGTACGGGAGTTGCTGGTCGATGTGGTTGCCCGGTCGACCAGGTTACCTGGGTGACGAAGTGCTGCGGAGGAGTGCGACGGTCGCCCAGGCGAAGCTGGCGAGACCGACCTTGGTGGTGGTATCACGAGGTCGTCGTGGCAGATCAGGGGTAGCCGTCAGCCCGAGGCTGACGTGGTGTGTGTGTGCTGTGCAGGTGATGAGGCTCGGCATACCAATCATCTGCACGCACCTGCAAAGCGGGTGCACTGCTGGCACACCGTCGACCTGAAGCATTGGCAAGCTGTCGACTTTGCTCTGCTGGAGCGCGGTCGACCAAGTCGTGTTGGAATGCGGTCGACCATGCTGTGCTGGCAGTTGACCAACCTGAATGCTAGCTCTGATGTAGTCTTGCATTGCCAACTTCATTGTACCATTGTTGTGATCTTTTCTTAGTGAAACTCTTGCCAAATTGCCCCGTGAACTAGCAAGCAGTGTTAGCACTAGGAAAACGTCTAAGGACCAACGAACGCAGAGATCACACGAGCACACGTGCCTAGCCAGTAGTCTAGCTCCCGTTGTAGTAGTTATCTCCGCAGCAAGCTCCTGGACCAGGCAAGCTCCTCGACCAGGCAAACTCTTGGACCAGGCAAGCTCCTGGACCACCCAAGCTTCTTGACTAGGCAAACTCGTGGACCAGGCACGCTCCTGGACCAGGCAAGCTCCTGGAATAGGCAAGCCCCTAGACCAGGCAAGCTCCTGGACCAGGCAAGCTCTTGGACCACGCAAGCTCTTGGACCAGGCAAGCTCTTGGACCAGGCAAGCTAGTGGACTAGGCAAGCTTCTGGACCAGGCAAGCTCCTGGACCAGGCAAGCTCTTGGACTAGGCAAGCTCCTGGACTAGGCAAGCTTCTAGACCAGGCAAACTCGTGGACCAGGCACGCTCCTGGACCAGACAAGCTCCTGGACCAAGCAAGCTCGTGGACCAGGCAAGCTGTTGGACCAAGCAAGCTCTTGGACCAGGCAAACTCGTGGACCAGGCACGCTCCTGAACCACGCAAGTTCCTGGACTAGGCAAGCTCCTAGACCAGGCAAGCACCTGGACCAGGCAAGCTCCAGGACCACGCAAGCTCTTGGACCACGCAAGCTCTTGGACCAGGCAAGCTCCTGGACCAGGCAAGCTCATGAACCAGGCACGCTCCTAGACTAGGCAAGCTCCTGGACCAGGCAAGCTCGTGGACCAGGCAAGCTCCTAGACTAGGCGAGCTCTTGGACTAGGCACGCTCCTAGACCAGGCAAGCTCTTGGATCAGGCAGGCTTCTGGACAAAGCAAGCTCCTGGACTAGGCACACTCCTGGACCGGGCACGCTCCTGGACCAGGCAAGCTCCTAGACCAGGCAAGCTCCTGAACCAAGCAAGCTCCTAGACCAGGCACGCTCGTGGACGAGGCATGCTCCTGAACCAAGCAAGCTCCTAGACCAAGCACGCTCCTGGACCAGGCAAGCTCCTGGACAAGGCAAGCTCCGGGACCACGCATGCTCTTGTACCAGGCACGCTCCTAGACCAGGCAAGCTCTTGCACCATGCACGCTTCTGGACCAAGCAAGCTCCTGGACTAGGCAAGCTCCTGGACCAGGCACGCTCTAGGACCAGGCAAGCTCCTGGACCAGGCAAGCTCCTGAACCAGGCATGCTCCTGGATCAAGCAAGCTCCTGGACCAGGCAAGCTCCTGGACCAGGCAAGCTCCTGGACCAGGCAAGCTCATGGACCAGGCAAGCTCCTGGACCAGGCACGCTCGTGGACTAGGCACGCTCTTAGACCACGCAAGCTCTTGGACCAGGCAGGCTCGTGGACCAGGCACGCTCAGGGACCAAGCAAGCTCCTGGACAAGGCAAGCTCCTGGACCAGGAAGCTCCTGGACCAGGCACGCTCGTGGACCAGGCACGCTCCCGAACAAGGCAAGCTCCAAGACCACGCAAGCTCTTGGACCAGGCATGCTCCTGGACGAGGCAAGCTCTTGGACCAGGCAAGCTTGTGGACCAAGCAAGCTCCTGAACCAGGCAAGCTCATGGAACACGCAAGCTCCTGGACCAGGCAAGCTCTTGGACCAGACAAGCTCTTGGACCAGGCAAGCTCCTGGACCAGGCAAGCTCCTGGACCAGGCACGCTCGTGGACGAGGCACGTTCCTGGACCAGGCAAGCTCTTGGACCAGGCAGGCTCGTGGACCAGGCAAGCTCTTGGACCAGGCAAGCTCCAGATCAGGCAAGCTCCTAGACCAGGCAAGCTCCTGGACCAGGCACGTTCCTGGACCAGGCAAGCTCCTGGACCAAGCACGTTCCTGGACCAGGCAAGTTCCTAGACCAGGCAAGCTCCTGGACCAGGCACGTTCATGGACCAGGCAAGCTCCTGGACCAGGCACGTTCCTGGACCAGGCAAGTTCCTGGACCAGGCAAGCTCCATATGAGGCAAGCTCCTAGACCAGGCAAGCTCCTGGACCAGGCACGGTCGTGGACCGGGCACGCTCCTGTCCAGGTCCACGTCCACGACCATGTCCACGTCCACGTCCACGTTCACGTCCACGTCCACGACCATGTCCACTTCCACGTGCACGTGTACGTCCACGTCCATGTCCACGTCCACGTCCACGTTCACGTCCACGTCCATGTCCACGTCTTGCCTGGTCTAGGAGCTTGCCTGGTCAAGAAGCTTCCTTGGTCCAGGAGCGTGCCTGGTCCACAAGTTTGCCTGGTCCAGAAACTTGCGTGGTCCAGGAGCTTGCCTGGTCTAGGAGCTTGCATGGTCCAGGAGCGTGCCTGGTCCAGGAGCTTGCCTGGTCGAGGAGCTATCCTGGTCCAGGAGCTTGCCTAGTCCAGGAGCTTGCTTGGTCCAGGAGCTTGCCTGTTCCACAAGCGTGCCTGGTCCAAGAGCTTGCCTTGTCCAGGAGCTTTCTTGGTCCAGGAGCTTGCCTGGTCCAGAAGCTTGCCTGGTCCAAGAGCTTGCCTGGTCGAGGAGCTTGCCCGTTCCACGAGCTTGCCTGGTCCAGGAGCGTGTCGATCCACTAGCTTGCCTGGTCCAAGAGCGTGCCTGGTCCAGGAGTGTGCCTGGTCTACCAGCGAGCCTGGTCCAGGAGCTTGCCTGGTCCAGGAGCTTGCCTGGTCAAGGAGCTTGCCTGGTCCGGGAGCTTGCCTGGTCCAGGAGCTTGCCTGGTCCACGAGCCTGCCTGGTCCAAGAGCTTGCCTGGTCCAAGAGCGTGCATGGTCCACGAGCGTGCCTGGTCCAGGAGCTTGCCTGGTCCAAAAGCTTGCTTGGTCCAGAAGCCTGCCCGGTCCAAGAGCTTGCCTGGTCCAGAAGCGTGCCTGGTCCAAGAGCTTGCGTGGTCTAGGAGCTTGCGTGGTCCAGGAGCTTGCCTAGTCCACGAGCTTGCCTGGTCCAAGAGCTTGCCTGGTCCAAGAGCTTGCCTGGTCCAAGAGCTTGCGTGGTTTAGGAGCTTGCCTGGTCTAGGAGCTTGCCTGGTCTAGGAGCTCTCCTGGTCCAGGAGCTTGCCTGGTCCAGGAGCGTAACTGGTCCACGAGTTTGCCTGGTCCAGAAACTTGCTTGGTCCAGGAGCTTGCCTGGTCTAGGAGCTTGCATGGTCCAGGAGTGTGCCTGGTCCAGGAGCTTGCCTGGTCCAGGAGCTATCCTGGTCCAGGAGCTTGCCTGGTCCAGGAGCTTGCCTGGTCCAGGAGCTTGCCTTGTCCAAGAGCTTACCTGGTCTAGGCGCTTGCCTGGTCCAGGAGCTTGCCTGGTCCAGGATCTTGCCTGGTCCAAGAGCTTGCCTGGTCGAGGAGCTTGCTTAATCCACGAGCTTGCCTGGTCCAGGAGTGTGCCTGATCCACGAGCTTGCCTGGTCCAAGAGCGTGCCTTGTCCAGGAGCGTGCCTGGTCTACGAGCGAGCCTAGTCCAGGAGCTTGCCCGGTCTAGGAGCTTGCCTGGTCAAGGAGCTTGTGTGGTCCAGGAGCTTGCCTGGTCCACGAGCCTGCCTGGTCCAAGAGCGTGCATAGTCCACGAGCGTGCGTGGTCCAGGAGCTTGCCTGGTCCAGGAGCTTGCCTGGTCCAGGAGCTTGCCTGGTCCACGAGCCTCCTTGGTCCAAGAGCTTGCCTCGTTCAGGAGCGTGCATGGTCCACGAGCGTGCCTAGTCTTGGAGCTTGCCTGGTCTAGGACCTTGCCTGGTCCAAGAGCTTGCGTGGTCCAGGAGCGTGCCTAGTCCGAGAGCTTGCGTAGTCCAGGAGCTTGCATGGTCCAAGAGCTTGCCTGGTCCAGGAGCTTGCCTGGTCCAGGAGCTTGCCTCGTCCAAGAGCTTGCCTGGTCCAAGAGCTTGCGAGGTCCAGGAGCTTGCCTGGTCCAGGAGCTTGCCTGGTCTAGGAGCTTGTGTGGTCCAGGAGCTTGCCTGGTCCACGAGCCTGCCTGGTCCAAGAGCGTGCCTGGTCCGAGAGCTTGCGTAGTCCAGGAGCTTGCATGGTCCAAGAGCTTGCCTGGTCCAGGAGCTTGCCTGGTCCAGGAGCTTGCCTCGTCCAAGAGCTTGCCTGGTCCAAGAGCTTGCGAGGTCCAGGAGCTCGCCTGGTCCAGGAGCTTGCCTGGTCTAGGAGCTTGCCTGGTCAAGGAGCTTCCTTGGTCCACGAGCGTGCCTGGTCTACGAGTTTGCCTGGTCCAGAAACTTGCCTGGTTCAGGAGCTTGCCTGGTCTAGGAGCTTGCATGGTCCAGGAGCGTGCCTGGTCTAGGAGCATGACAGGTCGAGGAGCTATCCTGGTCGAGGAGCTTGCCTGGTCCAGGAGCTTGCCTTTTCCACGAGTGTGCCTGGTCCAGGAGCTTGCCTTTTCCAGGAGCTTTCTTGGTCCGTGGGCTTGCCTGGTCCAGAAGCTTGCCTCGTCCAGGAGCTTGCCTGGTCCAAGAGCTTGCCTGGTCGAAGAGCTTGCGTGGTCCAGGAGCTTGCCTGGTCCAAGAGCTTGCCTGGTCTAGGAGCTTGCCTGGTCCAAGAGCTTGCCTTGTCTAGGAGCTTGCCTGGTCCAAAAGCTTGGGTAGTCCAGGAGCTTGGGTAGTCCAGAAGCTTGCCTGGTCCAGGAGCGTGCCGGGTCCTGGAGCTTGCCTGGTCCAGGAGCCATCCTGGTCCACGAGCTTGCCTGGTCCAGGAGCTTGCCTGGTCCAGGAGCTTGCCTATTCGAAGAGCGTGCTTGCCTGGTCCATGAACTTGCCTGGTCCAGGAGCTTGCCTAGTCAAGGAGCTTGCCTGGTCGAGGAGCTTGCCTAGTCCAGTAGCTTGCCTCGTTCAGGAGCTTGCGTGGTCTAGGAGCTTGCCTGGTCCAGGAGCTTGCCTGGTCCAGGTTTGTGCCTTGTCCACGAGTTTGCTTGGTCCAGAAGCTTGCCTGGTCTAAGAGCTTGCATGGTCCAGAAGCGTGCGTGGTCCAAGAGCTTGCCTGGTCCAGGACCTATCCTGGTCCTAGAGCTTGCATGTTCCAGGAGCGTGCCTGGTCCAGGAGCTTGCCTGGTCCAGGAGCTTTCCTTTGTCCAGGAGCTATCCTGGTCCAGGAGCTTGCCTGGTCCAGGAGCTTGCTTGGTCCTGGAGCTTGCCTGTTCGAGGAGCGTGCCTGGTCCAAGAGCTTGCCTCGTCCAAGAGCGTGCATGGTTCACGAGCGTGCCTGGTCCATGAACTTGCCTGGTCAGGAGCTTGCCTAGTCAAGGAGCTTGCGTGGTCCAGGAGCTTGCCAGGTCCAGGAGCTTGCCTGTTTCAGGAGCTTGCCTGGTCTAGGAGCTTGCCTGGTCCAGGAGCTTGCCTGGTCCAGGTTCGTGCCTGGTCCACGAGTTTGCCTGGTCCAGAAGCTTGCCTGGTTTAGGAGCTTGCCTGGTCTAAGAGCTTGCATGGTCCAGGAGCGTGCCTGGTCCAAGAGCTTGCCTGGTCCAAGAGCTATCCTGGTCCAGGAGCTTGCCTGGTCCAGGAGATTGCCTGGTCAAAGAGCTTGCCTGTTCCAGGAGCGTGCCTGGTCGAAGAGCTTGCCTGGTCCAAGAGCGTCCATGGTCCACGAGCGTGCCTGGTCCAGGAGCTTGCCTGGTCCAGGAGCTTGCCTGGTCAAGGAGCTTGCCTGGTTTAGGAGCTTGGGTGGTCCAGGAGCTTGCCTGGACCACGAGCCTGTCTGGTCCAAGAGCTTGCCTCGTCCAGGAGCGTGCACGGTTCACGAGCGTGCCTGGTCCAAGAGTTTGCCTGGTCCAGGAGCTTGCGTGGTCCAATAGCTTGCCTGGTCCAAGAGCTTGCCTGGTCCAGGAGCGTGTCTGGTCCAAGAGCTTGCGTGATCCCGGAGCTTGCGTGGTCGAGGAGCTTGCCTGGTCCAGGAGCTTGCCTGGTCCAGGAGCTTGCCTGGTCCAAGAGCTTGCCTGGTCCAAGAGCTTGCGTGGTCCAGGAGCTTGCCTTGTCTAGGAGCTTGCTTGGTCTAGGAGCTTGCCTGGTCCAAGAGCTTGCCTGGTCCAGGAGCTTGCCTGGTCCAAGAGCTTGCCTGGTCCAGGAGCGTGCCTGGTCCACGAGTTTGCCTGGTCCAGAAGCTTGCCTCGTCCAGGAGCTTGCCTGGTCTAGGAGATTGCATGGTCCAGGAGCGTGCCTGGTCCAGGAGCTTGCCTGGTCCAGGAGCTATCGTAGTCCAGGAGCTTGCCTGGTCCAGGAGCTTGCCAGGTCTAGGAGCTTGCCTGTTCCACGAGCATTCCTGGTCCAGGAGCTTGCCTTGTCTAGGAGCTTTCTTGGTCTGTTAGCTTGCCTGGTCCATGAGCTTGCCTAGTCCATGAGATTTCCTGGTCCAAGAGCTTGCCAAGTCCAGGGGCTTGCCTGGTCCAGGAGCTTGCCTGGTCCAGGAGCTTGCGTGGTCCAATAGCTTGCTTGGTCCAGAAGCCTGCCTGGTCCAAGAGCGTGCCTGGTCCAAGAGCTTGCGTGGTCTAGGAGCTCGCGTGGTCCAAAAGCTTTGCCTGGTCCAAAAGCTTTGCCTGGTCCACGAGTTTGCCTGGTCCTGAAGCTTGCCTGGTCCAGGAGCTTGCCTGGTCTAGGAGCTTGCATGGTCCAGGAGCTTGCCTGGTCCAGGAGCTTGCCTGGTCCAGGAGCTATCCTGGTCCAGGAGCTTGCCTGGTCCAGGAGCTTGCCTGTTCCATGACCGTGCCTGGTCCAGGAGCTTGCCTTGTCCAGGAGCTTTCTTGGTCCGTTAGCTTGCCTCGTCCACGAGCGTGCCTGATCCACGAGCTTGCCTGGTCCAAGAGCGTGCCTGGACCAGGAGTGTGCCTGGTCCACGAGCGAGCCTGGTCCAGGAGCTTGCCTGGTCCCGGAGCTTTCGTGGTCCAGGAGCTTGCCTGGTTCGGAAGCTTGCCTGGTCCAAGAGCTTGCCTGGTCCTCGAGCCTGCCTGGTCCAAGAGCTTGCGTGGTCCAGGAGCTTTCGTGGTCCAGAAGCTTGCGTGGTCCAGGAGCTTGCCTGGTCCAAGAGCTTGCCTGGTCCAAGAGCTTGCGTGGTCTAGAAGCTTGCCTGGTCTACGAGCTTGCCTGGTCTAGGAGCTTGCCTGGTCCAGGAGCTTGCTTGGTCCAGGAGCGTGCTTGGTCCACGAGTTTGCCTGGTCTAGAAGCTTGCCCTACTTGCACTATAAGTGCGAAATGAGCGTTTCCGTTCTCCTTGGCCCTACTTGCACTATAAGTGCGAAATGCCAGCCAGACTGGCCGATGCACCATTTTCTCTACACATGTGCGTTAGTTACCTTTCAAACCCTTACGTTCACTAGATGAATTTATTTCCTACCTTCTATTTGAGTGAGACCACAAGATTCCGTGTACTATGCGAGATCCGAGCGCTTCCGTTCTCTCTGGCATTTGCATTTTAAGTTCCGATACTGACCGACCTGGCCAATGCACCATTTTCTCTATACATGTGCGTTGAATACATTTCAAACCTTTTTAAGCTGACTAGATTTATATATTTCCCACCTTCTGATCGAGTGAGACCGTTAGATTCCCTCTACTTTTTGAGAAATGAGCGTTTCCGTTCTCCCTGGCCACACCTGCACTATCAGTGCGAAATGCCGGCCAGACTGGCCGATGCACCATTTTCTCTACACATGTGCGTTAGTTACCTTTCAAACCCTTACGTTCACTAGATGAATATATTTCCTACCTTATATTTGAGTGAGACCACTAGATTCCGTGTATTATGCGAGATCTGAGCGGTTCCGTTCTCCCAGGCATTTGCACTCTAAGTTCCCATACTGACCGACCTGGCCAATGCACCACGTTCCATATACATATGCATTAGATTCCTTCCGAACCTTATTAGCTCACTAGATTTATATATTTTCCACCTTTTGATCTAGTGAGACCGCTAGATTCCCTTTACTTTTTGAGAAATGAGGGTTTCCGTTCTCCTTGGCCCTACTTGCACTATAAGTGCGAAATGCCGGCCAGACTGGCCGATGCACCATTTTCTCTACACATGTGCGTTAGTTACCTTTCACACCCTTACGTTCACTAGATGAATATATTTCCTACTTTCTATTTGAGTGAGACCACTTGATTCCGTGTACTATGCGAGATCTGAGCGCTTCCGTTCTCCATGGCATTTGCATTTTAAGTTCCGATACT